CCAACTGCAGCAGAAAAGCAAGCTAGAAGCTTGCATGGGTGAATGCTGGCAGCTGTGCCAATGGGAAAAGGCTACCTGAGGGCCAGGCATGTTCAACATGAAGGCTCCATCTTCTCTTTTCTTTGTCTACCACATGTACATAAAGGAACAGATAACATGGTGCTGGCCAGGTTAGAAATACTACTGATTTTTGTGTGTTAACTGTACATCCTGCCACTTTACTGAGTTCATTTAGCAATTCTAACAGTTTTTGGTGTAATCGTAAGGTTTCTCTAAGTATAAGATCATGTCATCTGCAAACAAGGACAGTTTGACTTACTTTTTTCTAATTTGGATGTCCTTAATTCCCTTCTCTGGTGTAATTGCCGGGGCTAGAACTTCCATCACTGCATTGAATAAAAGTGACAGCAGTGAACATCCTTGTCTAACACCAGATCTCAGAGGAAAGGCTGGATGTTAGCTGAATGTTAACTGTAGAGTTGTCATATATGACCTTTATTGTTTTGAGGTGTGTTCCTTCTGTACCCCATTTCTTAAGAGTTTATCGTGAAAAGATAATGAAAGTATGTTAAGTGAAATAAGCCAGGTACAAAAAGATAAATATTGCATGTTTTCACTCATGTGGGAACTAAGTTTGTCTCATGGGTGTAAAGAGTAGAATGGTGGTTAACAGAGATTAGTGACCGTAGAAGGGAGCTTGGGGGATAAAGAGAGGTTGGTTCATGGAGAACAAAAATACATTTCAGTAGAAGGACTAAGTTCTTGTGTTCAGTAGCACAGTAGGCTATAATTTTTGTATCTCAAAATAGCTAAAAAAAAAAAAAAAAAAAAGATTTGTGATGTTCCCAATACAAAAAAAATTGATAAAATTCTGAAGTGATGAATATCCCAATACCTGGATTTGATCATTATGTATTATATGCATGTGTCAAAATATCACATGTACCCCATAAAATACCACATGTACAATTATGTGTACATTAAAAATGTACATTGAAGAGACATAGTGATAAGTGGTTTTTACTTCAGTTCAATTTACATTTCAGATTAAAGGTTAGTTGGAGAGTAGTTCAGAATATAGTTCAAGAAACTTTTAGCTCAGACATGCTAAAAACCCAGTCTTGAGCACAAAGAAAGGAACCCCACACCCTCCTTTTGTCCTCCTGGCTGGGGCAGTGAGAAAGGGTCAGAAGGGCTTGGGGTCTGATGGATACATGCCCTATCCTAACCCCTTCCATGAGGCAGAGTTGTTGCTGGGAAAGGCTGAGCCCTAGGGACTGTTCAGCCTGTTGTCTTGAGTCCAGGTGTTGCGGAGGGAATGCTCAGCTCAATGGACTGTGAGCCTGTCACTTCTAGGAGGGGAGAGTGGAGATGCCTGGGGCTAGAGTGGAGCGAGCTGCGTAGAGGCCTGGGGGAACTACTGGAGAGGCTTTCATATCTTCACTGGGGCAGGGGGTAGTTATACAGGCAAGTTTGCTGATACTCATCAGTCTGGTGTATATCCTGCATAAAATATAATTTTGTGTACAATTTGATTCTAAATAAAACAAACTAACATGGGCAAAAGAGCTTTACAAATTATAAAGTATTGTGGGAAGACAAGGGCATTATTTGTCATTAGTCCAACCATATGGTGTGAGTGTAGAATTCTGCGGAGTTTCTTAGATATGGGAGCTTATCCTAGAGCCCAAGCTGGGCCTAAGGAAGAATTGTCAGTAAGGGGCTTTAGCTTAGGGGCAAAGTATGAGACCTGACTCAGGCACCAGAGGACAGGAGTCTAGAGTTAAGCATGAACAGCCACAAGAAATAAAAGGGTTAGTGGGACTTTGCTCGATTCCCAGCTCTGGGTAAGGAGGTGGGAGCCAGTAATGCATGGACGTACATCTGTGGGGCACTCGTTCATCTTCCATTAATAGGATGAAAAACATCTACCCCTGGGCAGGTACCCACGATTTCTGTTTCAGTTTCTTGCTGCCCTTTCTGCTGTCTCTCTCCACCTTCATCCTGCAGTCTAGGCAAGCTTCCCAGAATGGAAACCTAATCCCACTCTGACTCTCTCAGTTACTACACACTGACTCCCCGTGGCCCTCAGTCTGAAGCCAGAGTCATCTACAGTGTTGTGGAGACCTCCTGGGATCTGATCCTGCTTGCCCTTCAGGCAGCCTCCCATGTGACCCTTTGCGGTTACCCAAATATGGCACTGCTTCCTCACATCAGCCTTGAGCACTGGGGCTTCCAGAACAGGTCAGCTGGTAGTGCAGACCATGTAGGTAACAGGCAGAGAAGCCCCCCTTGCAGTCTGCGAGGCCATGGTGTCCGCAGCCACAGAGGGCCTAGGAAGGGTGAGTGAAGTGGATAGGAGAGTCTGAGACTGAAACAGAAGCAGCTATAACCTTAGTGAGGTTGACACAGACCGAGGGAGCTGAGCTGGGACAATTCCTTCTACATCAGCATTTCTTGTGCCCTCTCCTCTTCCTAGTGTGCTTAGAGAGTACCTTCCAGACTACAATATTCTGCTGTTAACATTTACTCCTTGCCAAGCTCTGTGCTATGCTTCACAGGGAGATCTGCGTTTACAGATCTCACAACCCCATGTAGCAGACCTTAGCACTATCCCCATTACACAGGTGGGGACACTAAGGCCCAAGAGGAAAAATCTCTTGTTCAAGGTTCCCGGGCCAGAATTATGAGCATAAGTGATGGATGCCACTGCCAGCGCTGGCCCCTAGGCCATTCTGCATAGCTCTCTGGGCTCTCTTTCTCTCTCTTTTTAATTGTCAGCCAGCTGCAGACAGAGCACTTAACTGAGAGTCCAGCGAGTCATGGGGGATGGTGGAACCATGGGATAAAGGAAGCGTGATGCCTGGTGGGGCGCAGTGGCTCATACCTGAAATCCCAGCACTTTGGCAGGCCGAGACAGGTGGATCAATTGAGATCAGGAGTTCAAGACCAGCCTGGCCAATATGGTGAAACCCCATCTCTACTAAAAATAAAAAATTAGCCGGGCGTGGTGGCGTGTGCCTATAATCCCAGCTACTTGGAAGGCTAAGGCAGGAGAATTGCTTGAACTCGGGAGGCAGAGGTTGCAGTGAGCTGAGACCATGCCACTGCACTATAGCCTGGGTGACAGAGAGAGGCTCTGTCTCAAAAAAAAAAAAAAGGAAGCATGATACCTTCCTTAGACTTGGAGAACAGGTGCCCCAGACAGATGCCCAACCAGGAGCATCTATATGGAGTTTAAGTTGCTGAGAAATAAAGTCACATTGTGTGATTTGTTTTTTTTTTTTTTTTTTTTTTTTTTTTACTAAGGTATGTTTGTTATAGCAGCATGACCTAGCCTATTATATTAAGAAGTATTGCCAGGCACGGTGGCTCATGCCTGTAATCCCAGCACTTTGTGAGGCAGGCGGATCACTCGGTCAGGAGTTTGAGACCAGCCTGGCCAACATGTTAAAACGCTATCTCTACTTAAAAAAAAAAAATACAAAAATTAATTAGCTGGGATGGTGGCGTGTGCCTATAATCCCAACTACTCAGGAGGCTCAGGCAGGAGAATTGCTTGAACCCAGGAGAAAGAGGCCAAGATCACACCACTGCACTCCAGCCTGGGCAACAGAGAAAACTCCAGCTCAAAAAAAAAGTAACAGCAACTTTCCAACGGAGAAACCTGAAAGACTAACCCTAACCGAGGTTAGCATCGCCTGTAATATGACACACTGACGTCAGCATCTCCTGATAAAATGTACTGACGGGCACGTCACTGCTGTAGTTTTCTTGCCACAAATGCATAACCTCAATCTGATCACAAGAAAACTTCAGACGAGCTCAGATTGGGAAACCTTCTACAAAATGATTGGACAATACTCTTAATTACTGAGGTCTTGGTAGATTCCAGAACTGTTACAGTTTGAAGGAGGCTGAGGGGACGTAACAATTAAACGCAAAGAATTGGATTCTGGAATGGGGAGAAAAGGACATTCATAAAAATTGGTGAAATGCAAATGAGTTCTGTTCCTTAGCAATATTGTTTCAACGTACATTTCCTGCTTTCAGTAACTGTACTGTGATTCTCTAAAATGTGAACATGAGGAGAAGCTGCCTGAAGGGGATAGTGGAACTCTCTGTACCAACTTTTGCAACTTTTCAGTAAGTCTAAAATTACAGTTCAAGATATCAACCTGAAATAAGCAAGAGTGCATGTGGTGGTGGGTTGCCATCACGTGACCTTTAGGCGGCTTTGTCCTCCATGCACTGTCAGCAATCCTGGATAATGTTGACCCACATCAGTTGACAAAAAGAAATTTATTATAGCAAACGCCATGTTTCCAAGTTCAGCTCAAAAGGCCCACCTTATTTACTAGACCTGGCCTTCTGGGCATATTCGATTGAATGGTTTTCTTGCTCCCTTGGTATTTGATATGGAGTTAGTTACTCTGTGCTTGATTATAAGCTCTCTGAGGGCAGGACTGGGGCTCTGGAGCCGCATTCCATTCTGCACAAGACAGAAAAACTCCTCAGCTGGGAATAGAGCCCAGCACTGCTGGCTGCCCGGTGAAGCCTAGACAGGAGGAGCATGCTGGTCTTCAGCAGCCCCTCCAAGCCCTCCTTGGGCCCCACTGTGATGGGACGCTGAGGTGACGTTGCTGTTTTCTTCACGCGCTGTGGACTTCTGACCACAATCAGGACGACTGTTGAAGAGCCATATTTGGCCAATACTGAAGGAGCTTCTGTGTTGGTGCTGGGCCAACACAAGGCCTTAGAGGGTAGGCTGGGGGCTCCTTGTGTGTGAGAGTGGGGATGGTGGCATGTTGGTCCAGGGCTGCAAGGCCAAGGGTCGGCTTCTCAGAAGCCAGATGAGCAGGGAGCAGGGATGTCATCAGATCCCAGAAACAAACGTGCACAGGTTTCCAAGGCAAGGACTCCACCTCTAGCCCAGAAGTGGGCGGTGACGCTAGAGGGCAGCTCAAGTGAAGCCCAGCCCAGAATGCATCAGGACAGACTTGGGCAGTGACGGGACCAGCGCTTTAATAATGGAGTAACAAGGCAGCTGCCAGCATTACCTGGAGATGTGTGGCTCCCACGTACTGGGCAGTTAAACAGGACGGGTGGGGAGAGAGGGTGGCCGCACCCCAGGGGTGCTGGGTGAAGGTCAGCCCCGGGACCTCAGAGCAGCAGTCCCAGCAGAAGGAGGCTGACAAGTGTCAGGAAGTTGAGGGAAGCTTTGGACCCCATCTTGTGGGCAGCAGCCGGTGTAGACGTGGGGGTTAAGCTGTTTGCATCTGTACACTCGAACTTTCGAAAGATGACTCCTCCAACAGTCTTATTTTCACCAGACAGGAACTGACAGGTGGAGTTACTGACGTTGGAACAGCCTTTCAGCACGAGACGCTTAGACTCGGTGTCTGTGAATGCAAAGGAGACAGTAGGGACCCCACTCAGTCCTCTGTCCTTCCACCCACGCCCATTCTTCGTTCGTCACCTGTAGCGTGGTGGCCCAGGGACCGGCAAAACTGGTCTGCTCCTGAAACCCACGCAGGAGGAAGGAGCCTGCGTGTCCAGAGTCAAGGACACCATGAGATCAGAGGCCTAGACTCCTACCTACACCTAACCCTGAGGAAGCAGACTCCTGGAGGTGAGGGCAAGCCCAGGCTAAAAGATGAGGTCAGCACTGGACCTGAGACTCACACCTGTGTTCCTGTGCAGCTGGCAGGTAGAGACGCCAGGAACAGGCCCAAAAGGCAGTTCTCTGTCCTCGATTCAGGACTTCCCTCTCCCCTCCTAGCGTTTGCTTTCAGTCCTCGCTCCTCTCCGGACCTGAGTTCTCCCTGCCTGAGTCTTCCCTGAGAAGAAGGAAAGGCCACTGAAGGCATATAGGAGACCAGGGCACGCCTCTGCCGTAAATTGGAGTTCTGCTATGTTTCATCATGTTTTGATATTCAGGTACTAGGAAAAGGCCAAGGGCATTTGCAAAGAAGATGTAATCATGATAGCAGCTACCATTTACTGAGCACTTCACTGTGTGCCCCACCTGCTCTGTCAGCTGCGATTTGAACAGCCCTGGAAGCTGGGCGCCTCAGAGGAAGGGGACTCAAGGAGGTGAAGTGACTCCACCTGCCACTTGTCAGGGGCAGAGCTGCAATGTGAGTTCAAGGCTGGCTCTGGGACCAGGGAGGGTGGCTTGCGCCTGTAATCTTAGCACTTTGGGAGGCTGAGGTGAGAGGACTGCTTGAGGCCAGGAGTTTGAGACCACTGGGTAACATAGTGACAGCCTGTTTCTATAGAAAATTACAGAATTATCCAGGGCTGGTGGCACATGCCTGTAGTCCCAGTCCTTGGGAGGCTGAGATGGGAGACTGGCTTGAGCCAGGGGTTTGGGGCAGCTGTGAGCCAGCGATCGCACCACTGCATTCCAGCCTAGGTGACAGAGGAGATCCTGTCTCAAGCAACAACAAACGCTGACTCTAAACTTGCTTGGAAAAGGAGTGAGAACCCTCCAAATGCTGTTTTATAGCAAGCATCAGTGCTGAAGTTTTTGTTTTGTTTTGAGATGGAGTCTCGCTATGTAGCCCAGGCTGGAGTGCGGTGGCGCGATCTTGGCTCACTGAAGCCTCCGTCTCTCAGGTTCAAGCAATTCTCCTGCCTCAGCCTCCCCAGTAGCTGGGACTACAGGCACATACCACCATGCCTGGCTAGTTTTTGTATTTTTAGTAGAGATGGGCTTTCACCATGTTGGCCAGGCTGGTCTTGAACCCCTGACCTCAAGCGATCAGCCTGCCTCAGCCTTTCAAAGAGCTAGGATTACAGGCATGAGCCACCACATCTGGCCAGTGCTGAAGATTGATTTAGAGTGAGTTAGGAAGGTATGTTTCATGGAACATTTGTACTGTACTAAAAGAATGATCTTGGACAAAAACAAACAAAAATACCCCTATAATTATGAAAGCTTTAATTTGTCTGGCTTTCGGCCTAAGTCGAATCCTATGAGAAAAAAGAAAATCTATCTCTTTTATCAGACCTGGGAACCAGATAAGCAGAGAGAGAAAATCCTTCTGATGTCATGTTGCCCTAGACACAGCTTTAGAATTAAAAATCATAGCAGTTTAGACATCCCAGATACTTTAAAAGTGAAAGAGCTTTAAATGCATTTTACTAAGGGAAAGAAGGCATTTTGAACATGCTACATAATGTATGATTTCAACTATAGTATAGAGTGGAAAAGGCAAAACTGTGGAGGCAGTAAAAGTATCAGTGGTTGGCCAGATGCAGTAGTTCACGCCTGTAATCCCAACACTTTGGGAGGCTGAGGTGGGCTAATCACGAGGTCAGGAGATTGAGACCATCCTGGCCAACATGATGAAACCCCGTCTCTACTGAAAATACAAAAATTAGCTGGGCGTGGTGGCGGGCACCTGTAGTCCTAGCTACTCAGGAGGTTGAGGCAGAAGAATTGCCTGAACCCAGGAGGCGGAGGTTTCAGTGAGCTGAGATCGCACCACTGCACTTCAGCCCGGGTGACAGAGTGAGACCTCATCTCAAAAAACAAAAAAAGAGGTTCTAGATAAGCATGGCCCTTGATGCCACTGAAAAATAAATGATTACACGTAAACGCTGACTCATGATGCTATAATTGATACTTCACAAATATTAAAATCAAACTGTACCTGGATATTAGTGCTCTTAAACTCTTACTACTTTGGCAGGGACTGGCTTGTTGTTCATTTTAGCTTCATGCCTCTTTCCTTCCTTCTGGTCACACTACTCCACGTTCTCAGCCTGGCTATCTTACTGGGTCCTAGTCAATGGACTGCGGAAGGGAGTGATGCATTCACATCCGGGCCTAACCCATAAAATCCCTCCTGCCTTCCTCCACCACCTCTCTTTTCTACTGCTGGCAAGACGCAGAGGACACAGCACAGAGCTGCCAAGGCTTGGTGGGTGGGGGCCAGAGCTACAAGACAGAAGGAGCCCATGCCTCAGACTCTGCAATGAACTGCTCCAGCAAGAAATAAATATCTGTTGTATTGAACAGAGGCTTTGGAGGCTGTTCTTTAACTCTTTAACTAGTTGAGGTTTCTAAATTTTCTTAGCTTTAATTTCTAAGACAGCATATACGTACTGATAGATGGAGTCCACATAAACAAAAGTTCTTTGGGGTCCTCAATAATTTTTAAGACACAGAGTCATAACAGAGGGTCCTGAGATCACACAATTTGAGAATGACTGATGGGCACTAATGCCCTCTCACACAGCCTGAGTGCTTGTACTGTCCGTCTTCACTAAGAAAGAGGGGAGGCTTGGCAGAAGTGCTGGGCTGCCCCGTCTGTTTCTTACATAATCGCTGTAAGTCCGATGTTAATGCCATCTGGATATGCCCTCAAGTGCCTCCACTTGCAATGTCCCCCCGAGGGAAAGGAGAACAGGTGAAAAAGGAAGAGCCAGGGCTGGGAGGGCACAGGAGGCTGCCCGCAAGGCCAGCGCCCACTCAGGGCGTCGCTGATGTTGTTAACAGCAATTAACTAGCCTTAAAAAATGTATTAATGTGTAACTATTTGGGCAAATGTTAGAAATGTGTATTTTACAATGGTTAGTATCAAATTGCTTTGTAGAAAAGGGGCAATTGGTTGGACTTTAAAACCCAATTTGACTCTTTCTGCCAGGTGATCCAAGCTACCAAAAGCCAACACCTCTTAGTGACAAGTAAAGAGGAAAAGTGTAGATACAAAAGGAAGTAAAAGTTGTGCCCACCCTCACTTACGCAGTGATGAAACCTGGTAAAGAAGTAAATGGGCCGGGCGCGGTGACTCAGGCCTTTAATCCCAGCACTTTGGGAGGCCGAGGAGGGCGGATCACAAGGTCAGGAGATCAAGACCATCCTGACCAACATGGTAAAACCCTGTCTCTACCAAAAATGCAAAAATTAGTCAGCTGTGGTAGCAGATGCCTGTAATCCCAGATTCTTGGGAGGCTGAGGCAGGAGAATCGCTTGAACCGGGAGGTGGAGGTTGCAATGAACTGAGATTGTGCCACTGCACTCCAGCCTGGGTGACAGAGTGAGATTCCATCTCAAAAAAAAAAAAAAAAAAAGAAGCAAATGTCAGGAGTGGTGTGATGCATTAGACAGATATGACTTGATTATAAGCCACAGGAGAGCAGAGTTTGAGAGAAGCGCAGCCCAGGAGAAACAGCTCTGGTGTAAGAAGGTAAAAACAGCAACTAGCTCATGGCCACATTAACAGCCTCCTGATTTCAAAGGCATTATGACTCTGTCCCCCTCGTCCCACGACTCCCCTGGTCCTTCTGTGTTAACCCAGAATTCATGAACCAAGACTCGACATGCTTCCAGCTCAAGTCCCACATGGAATTAGAACTCCAAGACTTACCACTCTCCAAGTCTGCAACTAGAAAGATGCACTGTTCTTTTTCATAACATTTCCAGGGTTTCCCACTGCAGGAAATTCCGTTAGATTCATAACAAGCAGGGCACTCTGTGCTGCTGGACACATCCTTCAGTGGAGGGTCTGGGAGGGTAAGAGTCATGACTCAGGACAGTGTTATCAGACAGAACGTCGGGGGAAGGGGATAGCCAAGCGAATAAACCATCAAAGAGATCCCGAGAACGGAGGAATCGCATCCTTGGAAATCTCAGATGTAGCCTGGAAAACACCATGTCCCCTCAAAATATTCATTACACACTCCGCAGATCTGACCTCACAGACCCTCTCATCTTCACGAACTATGGCCATCAATGTGTTGGGGTATAGACTGAGAAAGGTAAGATTTTGAGCTAAAACCAAACTATAGTCAACGTCAGCATTACCTAGCCATTCTGAACATGAGCCAGCAAGTATGTGACTGTTACTAACTCTTGCTCTGAACAAATGAACACAGGCCATCATTTAACATTATGACTAGAAGAAAAAAATGTACAATGAGACCAGTTCTGCTGTTCATTAACTGTGCTTTATGACCATGGCCAATAAACTTTGCCTTTTCAGCCATATTTTCTGTTCTTCAGAAAGACAGCTGCGGTCTAGATCAGCAGATCTCAAATTATGGTCCAGTAACCCTGAGTCCTGGAGACCCTTGCAAACAATATTCATGATAATACTATGATATTATTCACTTATTTTACTCTCTTTCCCTTGTGAATGTAAAGTGGAGCTTTCCAGAGGCTACATGATGTGTGAGACTGTAACAGACTAAATGCACAAGTCAATATGAGAATCCAGCTCTCTTCTACTAAGCCAGAAACTAAACACTTTGCAAAATGTATAATAACAATGCCACCCATCCCATTAAATATCTTTCTTTTGGAAAATATACTTATTTCTATGTAAAAACATTATTAATATTGATGTGCCATGGGTTTTGGTTATTGTGGAGAATTCAGTTTCTAAATCGTCTTGACTTTATTTTCTAGGACAGTATGTATTGATAGATGGAGTCCACATGACTGAAAGTTCTTTGGGGTTCTCAATAATTTTTAAGACACAGAGTGGTAACAGAGGGCCTGAGATCACACAATTTGAGAACGACTGATGGGCAATGATAATGCCCCTCACACAACCTGAGTGCTTGTACTGTCTGTCTTCACTAAGAAAGAGGGGAGGCGTATCAGAAGTGCTGCTTTACCCAGTCTGTTTCCTACGTAATCGCTGTAAGTCAGATGTTAATGCCATCCGGATATGCACTCAAGTGCCTAGACTTGCGATGTCCACCCAAGGGAAAGTAAAACAGGTGGAAAAGGGAGACCCAGGGCCGGGAGGACAGAGGAGGCTGCCGCAAGGCCCGCACCCACCCAGGGCACCGCTGGTGCCGTTACACTGCTTTCCTCGGCAGCACTGGCTCACGAAGTGAAAGCGTTCTTCAGCAGACACGTGGACAGCGAAGGCTGTGACGTGTGCCTCCTCGCTGCAGTTCTCCGCGGAGCAGGCCATGCTCTGGTATGATCCGGATGCGCTCCCTACACAAAGACAAACACAGACCGTCAGCCCCCGGTAAGGAGCGGGCGTGGGGAGGGTGGGGACCCTGACTTGCAAAGGCAAAGGCAGAAAATGCAACCACAGTTCAGTGCAGTTTTAAAGACACTGGAGAGGGTTTTCCAGAATAGCAATAATAATAATAATAATAATAATAATAATAATAATAATAATAATTCTTCCCCATCAGGTAGCTCCTTCTCTCAGTAGGAGACTATCAGAGGTGCAGGTTAAACTCCAGGCAGAAGGCTGATGGGGAGCCTGAAGATGGGTGGTCCAGGTGGACAGCCCCTGAAGCCACTAGACGGTCCTAAGATCCGTGAAAATGATCAAGCAGACGTGACGAGCCTTATGTGCAATATGACATCCGCAGTTCCTGCCTAAAAATTGAACCTGAATCCAGTCAAGCTTCTAGCCAGAGCTATCTAATATGAGAGCCACTAGCAATTTGTACCTATTTAAATTTAAATTTTATTAATTAAAATCTAATCAAATTTAAAATTAAGTTCCTTGGTCATAGTAGCCGTATTTCAAGTGCTCAGTGGCCATATGTGACTATGGTATGGGACAGTATTACTGTAGATAATTCCATCATTGAAGAAAGTACTACTAGACAGTGCTGATTCCCTATACAAGAAATACTGAGAACAGGAGAACAAGTTAAATGATACCCTAGGAAGCAATCAACCACAACTAAAAAATGGGACCGCTACAGGGCAAATGACCCACTTCTCCGACAAACCAATAGAATTGAACAAAAAATGGTGGAAGCTGTTATAAAACAAATTAGGTTTAACTGACCTAACAGCAAAATGAAATGTGGGGGTGTTGCTTGGATCCTAATTCCACACATAGACCATATCATGACATGTTTGAAACAACTGAGAAATGTTTAAGATGGCCTGGTATTAGAAGAAATTAAAGAATTACATCTAACTTTCTTAGATATGATAACAGTATGTGTCTTAGTTCATTTTGTGTTGCTATAACAGAATACCATCGATTGGGTAATTTATAAACAAGAGAAATTTATTTTTTATGGTTCTAGAGTCTGGGAAGTACAATATCAAGTTCCAGCCTCTGGTGAGGACTTTCTTCTGCGTCATGCCGCGGCAGAAGGGCAAGAGAGGGAAAGAGAGGGCCAGACCCCCTTTCATCAGGAACCCACCTCCACATTCGTGATGTCCATCCATTCACAAGGGTGGAGGCCTCATGGCCTAATCACCTCTTAATAAAATCACAATGGCAATTAAGTTTCAACATTAATTTTGGAGGGAATATCCAAACCAGAGCAGTATGATAGTTATGTTAAAAAAAAAAGTGTTATCAGAGCTACATAGTGAAGTATTTGTGGAGAAAATGACAAATGACATGTACATACACACACATTATATAAATGTAAATATGTGTATGTATATTTATATAATGTTTACTTTAAAATACCATAGCCAAAAATACTATATTAAAAAAACACTATAGCCCAAAAATAGCAAAACGTTAATAACTGCTGCCATAGGGCAGTGGTTACGTGGCGATTCTTTATACTCTACTTCCTACTTTAAACATACATAAAGTATGTTCGAATGTGTCTACTATAAAAAAGTCAAGAGCCCTAAGTGCTCTGAGAAAGAGGTTACAGTAATGGTTACACTCGGCACACCCTGTGGGGAAGTCCTGAATGTGGAAAGAATGTTTGATGTAGAAGAGGAGGAACCATGAGGGAGAGAAAAAGGAAGAATGAAAGCACGCTGAGCAGATCTGCCTGGTAACCTAACCAAGAGCTGCCCCTGCTGCTCACATCCACTTCTGTGTGTCTAGAATGAAGCTCTGTGATCAAGGGCAGCAATTTCCAAAACACGTCAGGGTTCCTTGTCTGCACCGTCCCTGTGTTCTTGTCTGGCTCCTGCTCGTCTCAGCCACGCGTTGTTTCTCCCGGGAATCGCCTTCGTAGGTTCCTCTCCGCTTGCACTGCATGTCCCCATCTCTGCTTCTTTCCTCCCTGGTCATCCTCTCCAGCTCCCTCCCACTGCCAATCCCAGAGGCAGGAAGGACACACACACCCAGACTCACCTAAAGAAGAGTTGGCTGAGGAACTGATGCAGCTGGTGTTGGCATGTGGGGGACATTCAGTGGCAGGGCTGCTGACACAGGACTTGCCCCATGAATTACACTGCACACAGCCCAGGGATTCTGAGGAGACAAGATACCCAACGTCTGTCAGCTTCGGCAGACATTTATAGAGCATACTCTATGCTGGGAAAAGCACTGCTCCCACCTTGCAGTGAAAGACACAGATGGGGTGGCATCGCTGCCCTCTGGGGATCCCCGAAATTGATGCTATGAGATGAGGCCACCCTAATTAGTTTCTCGTGCTGCTCACTGTTCCCCAGTGGAAAGATCCAACCTTGAACAACAGTACAGAGTGGCCCCACTGAAAGCAGGCTGCACAGATAGGTCCCCTGGTCCTCACTGTCCACAAAGTAACATGTGAGGCCCTCAGGACTTTGAGAGCCAGAAGATACTGGTGAGGTGGAAAAGGGGGTCTGCATTTTAAAGAGGGCCCCGTGGCTTCTCTTACCTACAGCAGAAACCAGAAGCACTGCCATGAGACCAGCAATGAGGATGCCCTTCATGGCGCTGGAGCTGACTTCTCCCAAGGACGGGGCCATGGAGCCTCAAGCCTAAAGAGACACAAAGAAGGCAGCCCTAGGGCCTTGGAGGGCTGCCTGTCATCCCCTGGGTGTTTCCATCACACTGTAACAAGCCCAGTCCTCAGTCCATCCTTGTGGCAGAAAGAATCAAAGTCCTGAGCTGGGAGCAAAAGGCTGTGACACAGATGCCAGCCTGCCCCACACAGAAGTCCAAGTTTTCTTAATCTCAGCCTGCAGAAGCATCTTCACACGGATCTGAAACACAGCCAGGGGGCATTTTCCCTGGAGCCAGTTCAGTTGCAAAAATGCGCAGGCAGATTAATTTTTAGTTTCACTGGGGATGGGGTCCAAGAAGAAAGAGCTGGCTGGGGTCTGTGCCCCTCCCTCCCCCAGAGCACAACGGCCCTCCTCCAGCCAGCTGCTCACTCATTCACATTTTACACTTAGTGGCTGCCACCACCACCACAACAGGCAGACACCTATTGAGCACTTACTCTGTTCCAAGCACTTTATAGGTATTAATTCATGTAATTCATCTACTGTAGCAGCAGGTACTATAATTAGCATCCCAAGAAAAATCAAGCCGTAGAAGGGTTGGGTAATGCACTCAAAAGTCGAGGTCTCACTTCTGGGAGGTATCAGAACTGGAGTTCAGCGTCTGTCCCTAACCACCAGTGCACACGGCCCTCCATTACTCCCAGGGTCCTCGGCCTGGACACGCTCAACCTGCAGCACTAAATCAGAGTCCCCCATGCACTTCCGAGTCCTGCGTCCCCTGCCTGCAGATTGTCTGAGTTATAGACCTTCGAGGATTGCTAAGCTTTGGTTGTATTCACGAGAATTCTGAATTAGAACTCCCAGAATTTCAGCTTGCTTGTGTGTCAACGCAGCACAGAGGGCAGGTGTCTGGCTCTGCCCTGAGCGCTTTAAATCGTTACCTCATCTACCCTATAAACAGTTGCGGTGAGCCACACATGGCTATTTATGATTCTTCCAGGTCAGATAAAGTGAAGCATTCTGTTTCTCAGTAGCACTGGCCACATTCCAAACGCTAAGGGGCCACACGTGGCCGGTGGCTGCTGTATTGGCCACTGCAGGCACAGGACATTTCCATCATTGCAGAGAGGTGCACTGGACAGCACTGTGTGACGGAGGCTATCACCCCACTCCACAGGTGCGAAAACTGCAGTGTGGAGGGATAACAAAGGGACCCAACTCGCTCAGCTTACGAGGGCCAAAGTCAGCGCTCTGTTCAAGGGCCTCCCAGCCCCAAAGGCTGCACCGTGACAGCTGCTACTGACTGAGACAGAATAGCCTTCATCTGGAAGCCCCTGCTCCCACCCCAACACACACGCACATCACATCACACCCCATACCTCACACACACCACACACATCACACACAGACCACATCACGTACCACACACACACCACACATACACCACTCACACACACCACACACATCACATACACACCACATCACGCACCATACAAACCACACACATCACACACACCACATCACGCACCACACAAACCACACACATTACACACATCACACACACATCACGCACCACACAAACCACACACACCACATACATCACACACACACCACATCACGCACCACACAAACCACACACAGAACACATACACCACATCACACACCACACACATGCCACACACCACACATACACATCACACACACCCCACACCCCACACATAACACAAATACCACATCACACACCACATCACACACACCACACACCCCACATATCACACACACTGCACATACACATCACACACCACACGTACACCACATCACATACCACACACATATCACGTCATACACAACACACACAACACACACATACCACACATCACATGACACATCACATCACGCACCATACAAACCACACACACACAGCACACATACACCACATCACACACCACATACATGCCACACACCACACATACACATCACACACACACACCCCACACCCTACACATACACCACATACACAAATACCACATCACACACCACATCACACACACCACCCACCCCACATATCACACACACACTGCACATACACATCACACACCACACATGCCACACAACACACATCACGCACACACCACACATACACCACATCACATATCACACACACATCACATGTCATACACAACACACAACACACACATACCACACATCACATGTCACACATCACATATCACATGTCACAAACACCACGCACACAACACACCACATACACAAGCACTACACTACACACCACACGTACACCATACCACACACACAGCACACACAGCACACATCACACGTCACACATATTACATACATGCTGAACACACAACACACATTACGTGTCACACACCACACACCACATATGCAAGCTTCACACTACACACCACACATACCACACACATCACATGTCACACATCATACACACACAACACCACATACCTCACATACATATCACACACAGCACACGTACACCATATGCCTCCACACACAGACACATACACACCACCCACACTCACATACACACACCCCACATGCCATTTATACCACATGCCACAAATATTACATACACACACATCATATACACAACACACCACACGCAAACACCACACACCGTACTGCGACACTCTGGTTGACTTATTAGGAACTGGTAAAAGGAAGGGAAACCAGCCGGTCAGGAGAGAAGAGGCCCATACGTGGCGCCAGCAACGCCCCCATTGAGAGATAAAGGAGGTAAAGAAGCACGTCTGGAGTTTGTAGCAGACGCGCCATCCCTGCACCCTGCACACCTGCTCATCCCTCTAGGCCAGGAACCCCAGCTGCCTGCTTTTCTCTTCAGTAGAAAGAGAGTTTCAGGGGCCCGGCCTTCGGGGAAAGGGCCTCTCAAGTCTTATAGTGTGATGGAGGGGGGGAGAGGAGAGATGAGATGAGATGAGATGAGATGAGATGAAAGAGATCCCAGCAGCACATCAAGTGCATAGATCATCTCAGCCTACAGTGAAGACCTGGTAACTAGCCTCATCTTCAGGTAGAAATGACAGAGGCCCAGAGAGGTCAGGACCTGGCCCAGGGGGGCACAGCAGAGAAGCAGAGCCGGAAGTGACCCCATAGCAGGACCCAGGGCCATGCTCACCACCTCTCTGGGTAAGAGGGACCAATGAAGCTGGGGTCCAGGCAGGGGCCCCGTGTGGAACATGAGACATGTCACCTCTAGGTACTTCCCACTTGCAAAGTTTCACTGTTGAATCTTTCCAGCAGCCTGGCAGGGTCCTGATTTAACTGCTGTGATCTTCCGCACAGAAAGCTGGAGCTCAGAGAGGCTATGAGGACACAGTGCCACACAGAATGAAGGCGGTCACACAAAGAATGATGCACAGAACACACACACTACACACAAACAACACGCAGAATAGCAGATGGCAAAACAACAGGAAAGGTATGTTCCCAGCTCACATCCTCCCTGCACTCCAGACTTCCCTCTCCTGAGCATGTGACTGCCCAGGGCAATGCCAGAGGAGCCACGAGAATGCCCAGGACCTGGCCAGGGAGGACCTGAGCTGGCCCTGAATGCCCTCCTGTGCTTTCAGCTTCTCCCAGGGCTCCGGCCCCAGCCTTGTGGTCCTCTCACCGTCTGGATCTGGCCTGGTGACTGTCCTACAGAAGGTGGATCCTGGCAGAGGCTTAGAACTGGTGTGGGAGAGGCCTTATATAGCAGGTGGCTGTACAATCAAAACACAGCCGTCTTCTGGGGAGGGACCTCTGTCTCCGACAGGCTAAGGCTGCTGGCTGTCAGACTGTGCCCTGCCCAACCATATGGCTACTGTGCAGCTGGCGTCCTCTCTGAGACCTCTAGGAATTGGGAACAACTTTGCGCAAGGCCTCCCTTTGGCAAAATGTAAACAGGAGCAAGATACCTTCCAGCACTGGCTGTGACCTTCTAAGTCCGTTCCATGGCCTGCTAATGACAAGCACCGCGTTATGACCACCGAGTGGCAATCACCATGATTAGCCCATTTATAGATGAGAAAACCAAAGCACAGAAAGAGAAACATAGGAGAGATGCTCATGGGCACACAGCTGCGGCAGGGCAGAGCTCAGAGCTGAGAGTCAGGCTACAAGGGGTCTGTGCAACTCAGGGGAGGGGCTCCGGTTCCCAGGGGCAAGTGTCTCAACCATGTTAAATTTGAGGGTCCCCCAGCCAAGACAAGTATAAACTCACTGTACAGCCTCATAGTGCGGTTGGTGGGGGAGCTGTGAAGGTAGCCCCACCCACAGTGCGCTCTACACCCCAGGTGAGGGCCCGCAGCAGTGCTCAAGAGAGATTTCTGGCCAGGTGATCTGAGCAGCTACTGGTAAGCGCCCAAATCAGGTCGACTGAGGTCTCTCTGTATGGGTCAGTTTCTCTGGATCACACGATCACAGGGTAAAGTCCCACAATAGGCCGTCTGCAAGCTGAAGACCAAGGAGGCCAGTCCGAGTCCCAAACCCTCGAAAGTAGGGAAACTGACAGCACAGCCTTCAGGCTGTGGCCGAAGGCCAGAGAGCCACTGTCAAAACACTGGGGTAGGCCCCAGAGTCCAAAAGCTTAAGAACTTGGAGTCCCATGTTGGAGGGCAGGCAGCCTTCAGCACGGAGGAAAGATGGAGGCCGGAAGAGTCAACCAGGCAAGTCCTTCCACGTTCCTCAGCCTGCTTTTATCCTGGCTGTGCTGGCAGCTGCTTTGATGGTGCCCACTCAGACTGAGGGTGGGTCTGCCTCTTCCAGCCCACTGACTCATGTTAATCTCCTTTGGCAGCACCCTGGCAGACACACCCAGGATCAATACTCTGCAATGCTTTTCAATCCAATCATGCTGACACTCAGTATCAACCATCACACTCTCCAGTCTCCTCACACGCTGCCACGGGTGCTCCTGGTTTTGAGTGTGGACTTGAGTTATCTTCCCGCCCCGTCTTTCCACTGTTCTGCCACTTACACACACACACACACACACACAC